GCAGACCTGCCCGGGCTGTTGAAAGCTCTCTATTCTAAAGGCCTCGCAGCATTTTAAGTTCTGCCAGAACTATTCCTTGTGGATCCGTTAAAATGAATCTCAACTTCTCCTGTTGAAATAAAAGCCACAAAGAAAATCCCAGGGATTTCATGGCCCCTCTGAACTCTAATCCGAGATGGAAATAGAAAGGACTGAAACTTTATGTTCATTTGACATCCTACGATTAAAACATAAGATGTGTAGAGTTCTGTAGACAGATGTGATTTCCCCCTCCACTCTGCCAAAGTGAGGCTGTCGCAGCTGGATTCGTATCACTGGCTTATAAGCCTTGCATGTTGGACCTCAAGCGTATAATACTTCACATTCATACACAGTGTAACATTAGATAGTTTATGGTGCTGTATTATGTGGAGGCTGGCTATGGCTGGGAGCGGAGGCAGGAGAATGCTGTGGTCAGCGGTGGGTCAAAGACTGTCAGGGCAGAAAGCCAGCCTCTGTACGTGTCTGCCCTGAATGTTAATGGATTAACGCTCGCCACACATACAAGCTACACTGGGAAACTCAAGATGACTTTTAACGTGAAAGGCCGACAATAAGTCGCCATCATAAATTCAGGGACACATGCTGTCTGTAGCAGCGCCGCGGTCAGGCGTGTTTCCTCAGGGAGGTTGGGGCTGAGTGACTGTGTGATGGAGAATGGGGAAGCAGGTGGGCTCTGCGTTGGCTGACCTTGCCTCTCAAGCCCCACAAGATACGATCAGCTGGCAGTTGCAGCCTTGCCTAAATTACACACAAGGTATAATATAGAGCAGGTATAGTATTGAGCAGGTACAACAATGCACTTTTCCACCAACAAGCTTTACCATGCTTGTCTCACTGTCATTTTAGAACAGCTTGAAGTATATTTGCAGTGTTTTAAACTCACACCCTGCTGATATTGCATTTTGCACCACAAGAGAAGCCCATTCAGTTAAAGCTTTTTTCTCTCCTAATTGCTTTAAGCGAGTAACTTGTGCTTGTCTAATGTGAATTTCCACATGGCAAAGAGAGCTGCAGTTGAAGTGCTTAGACATTGTGCAGCGACAGCCCCAATCACTGTGTGTAATTTAGCAGCAGGGGGACAATGAGCTAATCTTGCAGGAGAGCATATACTCTCAATTTAAAATCAATCAAGATGCATTTGTTTTTTAGGACCACCACTTGAGTCTTGCTGTAAATAAGAGCCCGGTTCAAAGCGCACAATTGTTGTCTGCCTGCGTGGGGGGTCATTTTAAACCCACTGATGGATTCACAGCACATTGCACTGCAAAGTTGAATGTACATTTTGACACTAATACGCCTCATTTTTCCTAATCATTTTGCTGCTGCACTGCAAGTAATTAGCTTTAATTATGTCAGTGGGTGATTTCTTGTCATTTATTGAAAAACTGACTTACCATCATTTGCAGCAGCATGGTTTTAAATACTTGAGCGCAGAACAAGTGGCACATGCAAGAAGAGAAAAGTTATGGTGTTGGGATTTATAATCTAGTTATCTAATTCTAGTGAATAAAACACTGTGCTGTGCTTCCCTATGATTTTCTGTCTCCAACCACCGAGGGCTTACTTAATGCCCTCAATCTCTGCTGGTCTCTCTCCTTTCTGTAAATTAATTTATGGTCTAATTACAGGACAAGCCTCCAGATATGAAGGAACACAAATCACTGGTCCTTACCAGATGGCAGAAAAACGGCACGGGATAATTGAAAATCTAGAAGTGGATCAATATTTAGAAGCCCAAGGTTACACGAAGTATGACAATACTATTAACATGGAAATATGATGCATTACATCCACAGGCAAATTGGATTCTGTGATTTGATGGTGAATGAGTAGTACTGACTGAAAATACTGGCATGTCAATAACAAAGTGCCAAACTAGCTTTGTTATCACAAGTCTGACTCTCATACACCCCTGAATGATCTAAAATGTAGTGTTTCAGTTGTATGTGCATACCCACAGCCATTTGTGCACACTTGAACATATGCATACTGTTTTCCAGTGGTGTGTGGATCTGGTCTGAAGGTCTCCTTACCAGCAGAAGACACCATGAAGGCTCAGAGTCTACCTTTGGGACACCCCACCCTTCTCTAGCATTTACCTCTGGCCTGTTAAAAATGATATCAGCTCATGGAGGGCAAGCATTAGCATTTGCATTTTATTGGAAGCACCGAGATTTAGAGCAGAAGATATATCAGCTCTGAGCAGACAGAATTAGTTAACAATGCATTACCTGCCTTTTATGGCAGCTATAACTCTTTCCCCTGGTGGGGAGAGGAGATGAAGGGAGGAGTGTGTGTGGGGGGGAGACGGGGGGGGGGGGGGGGACGGGGGGGTGAGTGAAGGGGAAACACAGCCAGCAGAGGGTTGGCGCGGGGAGCGCCGTGGTGCAGTAGAGGGGGGATTTAGAACCAAGAAGCTTTGTCTGTGGTGCTTTACTGCACATTAAGTATGATAGCTGCTCAAATTAGAGCATCACATCCCAATCACCTTCACACAGATCAGTGCACTGTGCCGAGGGGATGATGCACCAGTCGTCACTGCAGACCTTTTTATCTAGATGAGGCAAGGAGATGGAGACACAGCTGTTGGGCAGATGTGCCTGTGTGACCACAGCACACTTTTTTTTAGTTTCTCTGAGACTCTAATTAACAGCTACAAATCAAATCTTCCCTTTAAAAACAAGTTATTAGAGCACTGCAGAGTCTGTTTGTGTTATTCCATAAGAGTGCATGTTTATCTGTTTGCTGGTTTACTGGTATCCTTGAAAAAGCTGTGTAACACTGATGAGGCCCACTGCAGCAGTCCCCTTCCTCGCCACAGCTCCCCCGACACTCATTCGGTGAAATGTGCTGCAAGACAACCCACCTCTGCTGTTCCCTGCCCTACCCTGTGGAACTCATTTGCACTAGAAGTTAACTGGTACAGGAGGGACTGCGTTTGAAGTGCAGGCAGGCTGCTGCATATAACTAAATACATTTACACCTAAACTGTGAGAATATCATTGAGACAAAGAACACCAAGCATGATGTGCAAAATGACAGGGCCCTGTCAGTGTTACATTTAAAGACATACATGTTCAAGTGATCGAATAACTCTTCTATAACTTGTAGAAAATCTAAGAATGCATCGTGAAAATCGCCACACACACTTATTTCTAACTTTCTAACTCCGATTTTTGACTTCAATAAAGCTTCTCTCTGCTGCATGCTCAGAACTGATTCTACATCTGTATTTGCCCACACATCACAGGCAGCGCTCCCATGAGTGCCACTGTGGCTTTCCCAACCAAACCTCCTGGCTTGGGTTTGTCAGCAGACAGCTCCAGGCTCCATAAAACAGCCTGCTGCCTGCTCCCTCTGCCTGGCTTAATGGTCCCAGGGGCTGGAAATTTACTAGTGACCTTTGCATTCCATTTGGAGTGTAAAAGCCTTTTTGCAAGGAAAATTCCATCACTTTGAACGTAGCTGAGCAGCAAATTGTGTGTGCGTATGTGTGCCAGATAGAGGGAGTCACTATAAAAAGGCAGCAAGAAAGAAAAAGAAGGTGGTGAGAGAAGAACAAGGATTAGGCTCACCTTTTACTGCAGTTTATTGCTGATATTGCAGGGGGTTCCCCATAACACAGACACTACTCTCGCTTGACATCTGGTTAATTTAAGAAATAACTTATTTCCTGCTTTTGTCATGGTGGCCATACTTAAAAAAAGGTTGCTTGTCCTCATGTTTTAAAGCTGACTTAAGTAGATATTGGTGAGTTTATTGACTCCATCATTGTTATATTCCTTGAATTGCTCTCAAATTGAGAACAAAAAAAATCCTCATCACATAATATAGCATTTAACATTCTTTGCATTTGGTCTGTTATTCAAGTTATGTGGTCCTTATAGCGACAGATTTCTTTTTTTATGGCTGCATCATTACATGTAATGGAAGTGGGGTGGCCTAGGGCTTTAAGGGGCCAACCATGCATGAACATAATGTCCTGGGTTTGCATCTGGCCAGGGACCTTTCTTGCATGTCATTTCTCATCTCTTTTTTTTATGCCACTAATTTCATGCATGAAAATATCTGAGTCAAGCAAAAAATCGTAAATCTATTTCAAGTCATTTGAAATATTATTCATTGTAGAGACACTTCAGCCGTCAAACCGTTTGAGGCATCTTTCGAAACTCGTACAAGAATTTAAAATAAATCTTTGTCAATTTGAACTCTAAATACCTGCACATCCCGAGTTTGTGGACTTACAGGTGTGTCCAGCAGATGTTATTAGCAGCTGAAGTTACTCAGACGCCATCTGAGGACTTAGAAAAAGATGTGATGTTAGGCAGTAAACACAACCTTACCTCAAGCACTCAGAAATATACATTAGAATCTGTTATGGCATTAAAAAAGATTCATTCATGTGATGTTGTAGTTAGAAAATTTAAGATTTTGAACTGTGAATGACTTGCATAAATATCTAGTTATAACTTCTGCATTGATGTTGTACAGCAGCACCATCTGCTGGGCGACAGCAGCTAATGCTTGAGAAACAGTTAAAAAAATAAAATAATGAAAAACGTTTTTTTTTAACACGATGCAACATATATGCAGATTTAGCCTTGTGATATTTGTCAGTGTTTTATTTTTTGATACATTAAGCCAAGGCTTAGTATAACACATGTTTTTACTTTTGTTTTTCATTAAAAACGATTCCTATCTAATGAATCATTTTCACTTCTTTAAATTCCAGGCTCACAGAAACCATTTGAATCCTGGGACCTTCGATTAAGTCACTTATCCACTTGTAGAAAATCTATTTATATGCTAAAATAAAAGCCGACTGACATTACCTACATTGAAAATGTTTATTGAAGGGGGCTACTGTACACATATTTGTAACATTTAGTTTACATAAGAATTAGTCTACTTTGAAAAATTCTGTACAGGCACAAACTTAAGACAAAAGGTCAATGGTGTGAAAACACATTTTTTAATGAAAAAAAAACACCAAAAACATATTTTAAGTGTTGTCAAGGGACAGGGTTGATACACAGAACCAAAGAGGAGGTGACAGCCTTTATTCAAACGCGAATAAAAGCTAAAAAATGAGAGCAGTTATCAGTCTTTAGAAACTAAAATAAATTGGTCCAAGGAGTCTGTATTTGAGAAGTTTTAATATTTCTATGCAAAAAGAAATGACGGATATCAATAAAGGCCAGGGTATGGATATTCCAATTAAATGGTTTCAAAGTTTCATATTAAAAATACAATTGTGAAAAAACTGTAATAGCCAAGTCTAATGTAACACTTTACACCGTAAAAAATATCCAAGGATCACTTACTGATGATCAACATAATAAAACTGCAGGGTTGTAATATTTGAGACGGATCACATGGTCCAAAAGTTTTTCATCATTAAGCCACAAGGTGGCAGACTCCAGTGACTGTTGACAAATGCTGGTTTGGGTACAAGATTGTCCAACATGATAACATGAGACTGGTCCAATTGTAACACTGCAGATAAAAAGGGAAACAGGAGATACCAAATAGAGTACAGTTTGTTTTATTATCCTTTACTTGAACTGGTGATAGCATGGAGGAATTTTAAAAAACACCACAAAGTTCACATTCAACATGAAAAAAAGAGGAGATAAAAATAACCAAGCAATAACCACTGTTAAAAACACATATTGGCTGGCATCATTTGCAAATTTCAAACTGGGTAGTTGTATTCTGGTAGACAGAACAAACTAAAAAAATCTAGAAGATAAAAAGATTTTTTTTTTTAAAAAGAAGAAGTGATTATGTAGTCAGGAAAGGTCTGCGGTGGTTGCTTCCTGTATATTGATACTATGGTCTTATCTTCAGCAGTGTTAGTGGGTTCTGAACACAGGAAGGTGCACAGCCTATAAAGACTTGGGTTGGGGGTTGTGCACCTTAGGTTGGACAAGCTCATAGTTAACACTGCTTTTGTAGAAACCCTGGCTCTGCAGCTTATGTACTGAGTTTAAACAGATGGCCAAAACTGAAAAATACTTTACTGACTTAATAGTATCCTGTGAGCACTAAAACATGTGTTAAGACATTAAAAAGAAGGTAAAGAATACAAAGACAGAACAGCAGAACCCACTCCAGTAGCATATCACCCATGTCAGCTACAGCCTCTCCCTCGGTGTGATCGTTACTTGTCAGCAGTCTGGGGCCGTGTGCTCCAGTGGGTTATGGATGAAGATATTCACAACAGTGCCCACTGCCTGTGTGTCGTTGTTGGACATGGTAAAGAGGAAGGATGGGAAGTTTGGGTGTGAAAAAATGTCCGACTCAATGTTGTCCCTGCAGTGGAGGAGGTTATGTTTCCTCCGAAAGTGATCCACTCATGCACTAACAGCATCCTTCTCCTTCTTGTCACTGTCTTCGTGCCAGGTGAGACGTTCCTCATAGAACGCTATGACAATCTGTGGACACTTGTGATTGGCCTCCTTGGCAAGCACAAGGTCTGCTTCATCAGAGTCTTTCCTACGAGCAAAGAAAGGGTAAGCTTTGTTAATAAGGTTAGCTCAGAAATAGGACTTGGACAAAATATTGATACTGCAAATATGGTCGCCTTGATTTATGTAATCCAATTATGGACACGCTGTCACCAAATATTTCTACTTTAATTTTAAAAGAATACAGCGCCAATTAGACCCATTTCAAGGCGTAAATCCTTCTAACAATGGCCCTTACAGCATGAATGAGGGTAACCTGAGTGGAAGTTAATTAGCCCAAAAAGAAGTGAAGAGATGTGCCCACCCTTTTCAAACCAAAAGAAGCAAAATAAAAAAAAGCTGCTGAAGAGAATTTTTATTTCTAACTTACAACTTAATATTCAATTTTATGCAGAGAAAAAGAAATCTGCTTTAGTTGGAATTACGTTTGAAACAGGGCAGTTTTATTTTACATGACTTATTTTTAGCAGGAAGAGGATAATATTTTTGCCCCAGGTCGGTTTCATTTTCTACTACACTATTACAATATTTCAGACAAAGTAAGTTGATGGAGCTTGCTTAGTATGCATCTGTGTATGCAATTTTTATTTTTGAACTTTAACAGTGCTAAACTTATCCCCCTCTCCATTCATTATGGGAAAAAAAATGCATTCATCATAGAAATGGTACAACTGTCGCTGCATTTTGAGCCAGTAAACTCTCAGGAAAGGAGAATGACTATGCATGAGTGACGATGTACCACACATATATCCATCTAGCTAATGTGGGATGACATAAAATTTTACGGTGTCACTTACTGTTTGTATATGAATGGACAGCTAGGCTATTAGTTCAGCTAATGGGTAATTTGTCAGTAGCAATCTGGCACATTTAGCGCCGTTTCAAAGAATCATTTCATTACAAGTTGCAGGCAGTAATGGCGCAGATGGCAACCCCGGTGAAACCCGCTGTACACAAGAGTTCAAGCCCAGAAACCAGAAAACAACAATAGAAATTAACTTCTGGGTAAAGTGAAAAGACCAATGCAGACTGCTTTAGAGTGAACTGTCATCTTACTGCTGTCATCAATAGCAGAACTAAGTTAAATACCACGAAAGCGTTCATATAGAGCTTACATAAACATCATCAAATTTATTAAGATATTGTGGACGCTGTTTATAACTACTTAAGTTGTCTCACGCACGCTTGTTGTTTCTTATATTTCTTTAAAGCTTTGCAGAACTAAGTAATGGTCTCTGCATTTACTTCATTATGACCGGTATCAGTCAGAACTAATGACATGTTAGCAGTTCTATAAAGAAGACTATCTTCAATAATGAAGATATTTATATCGGTGTCATTATCATCACCAACAAGACAATAATGCCTGTTCAGCATTGCTGTAACATGAAACAAACAAAAACTTGATTTGAAGGGACAGAGGGATGGGGAGCATGTGAGACAAGGCAGTTAAGACTCTGGTGGCTGCATCGATGCTCTAACCCCCATTTCCTATTATAAATGAAGTTAGACTTACAACCAGACCCGGTAAAACTAACATACTGCGATCCAGTGTAACTGACTGATCACTGTTATCTTATATGATCGAACATTTGACTTCCCATAAGTTGAATAAAGGTATTTAAACTGATCTTACATTTAAAATGGGAGGCTAGTGTTTTTTTTTTACTGTGTATAAGTGTGTATGACTGTATGTGTGTTGGACCCCGGGAAGAAGAGACAATGTGTATGCTGGTGCTAACGCGGATTCAAATAATAAAGAAAAAAAAAGTGAATACTGATGTTGGGGCTTTTAGTGTTAGGTTGAGATAAGCTTTCTTTTAACTACATGTATGCACGATGTCTGCAATGCGTTGCCTGTTTGGCGCACCAGCTGTGCAGTTGCAAGATGCAGTATGCACATGACTAGTAGGGGCCGTGTAGAGGCCGAGGGGATGTGACATAGTCAACATATCAACAAGGACAACAATTACAAAGTTTTGAAGACAAACTGTAAGTCCACAATTATCCACATCTGAACGATGTGTCAATGTTATTGCAAAGAGACAAACAAGTCTGTCAAAAAAGCTGGGACAGATATGTTCCATTTTGGAAGTTGATGTCGAAACCTGTAAAACTAAATGGAAACAAGTTTGATGTTTTGGTTTAATAAGTGACTCTGTAAACTGGTGACTTTCAGCTGAATCTGTCCGTAGCTACCTTTTTATTTGTTTCGTTTTCAATAAAAACATAGACAGTGGATATCAAAATCTACACTCCCATTTTAAGATGTCAGTTTTTCTAATGTAAAAAAAAAATAAGAAAGAAAGAGCATTTCAAACCTTTTTCAACCTTTGTGACCTATAACCTGTGCAATTCAATTGATTGATCTTTTACAGGGAAAAATAATTAATGAAAATTTTAATTACTGGTATGTAGTTGCATAAGTGTGCAATATCTCTAACTATTTGGGATGTGGCTGTATTCAGAATTTACCAATCACATTAATATCCATGTTATATGTCAGTTAACACCTGCCATCAAGTAAAGTGACCGCAAATAACATTAAGCTGTTCAGGTAGGACTTTACTGACATTCACTGAGGTGCATCTTACAGCAAAAGTCATTCAGCTTCACAAAGATCTTTACCAAGCACCAGCGGGATCTCACTGTTGAAAGGTTTTGTTCAGGAGAAAGGTACAAAAATATCCCGAGGCAAAGCTATACCATGGAATGCAGTGAAGGCAGTCATCAGATAGTGGAGAAAATATGGCACAACAGTGACACTACCAAGAACAGGACGTCCCTCCAAAAGTGATGAAAAGACGATAAGAAAACTGGTCAGGGACTGACAGCACATTAAAAAGAGCTACAGGAATGACTGGCAAGCAATGGTTGTTTTCTACATGTGACAACAATATTCTTCATTTGTCTGGGCTATGGGTAGGGTGGAAAGACACAAGCTAGTTCTTACGAAAAAAATTTTAAAGCCTGGTTAAATTTGGCAAACATTTAGTCCCCCAAAGGCATGTGGGAAAATGTGTTCTGGTCTCATGAGACCAAAGCTGAACTTTTTGGCCATCATTCCAAAAGGTATGTTTGGTGCAAAAACAACACTGCACATTGCAAAAGAACACCATACCCATGGTGAATCATGGTAGTGGCAGCTTCATGCTATGGGGCTGTTTTCCCCTCAGCTGGAACATGGGCTCTAGTTAAAGTGGAGGGAATTAGATTTGCAATGCTATTGCAAGAAAGAGTGGGCAAATTTTTACAAAATCAAGATGTGTCATGTTGATAAGACTCCTCACCCCAAAAGACTGAATGCTGTGATAAAACCAAAAAGTGCGTCAACATGGTATTATTTGAAGGGTGTGCATACTTAAGCAACCAGATTATTTTCATTTTCATTGATTATTTCCCCCCCTAGAAGAAATTAGCTTTTTTCCCTACAATTGAATTGCACAGGTTGTAGGTCACAGTTGAGGTGGAATAGTTTTGAAATGCTCTTTTTGTCTCATTTTTCCCCTCACAATAACTGATATTTCTATTTCTATTTGATGAGTGTATTTTTGACATTATAATAAAAAAATTAAACAAAGAGGCATTCGTAAGGACTCTACACCATCTACAGAAGCATTCGGCTGTATGTCCCCAGTTAACAGGGTCACCAGTTAAACCAAAACACCGGGACTGTTATGACCTAGCATGGACAAAAATGTTTGAGAAACAGTGTAGACAATATCAGTCGCCTGAGCTTATCTGATGTTACTATTGATCGTTGATGGTAATATTATATTAGTTTTGAATGAAGAATGAACAAACTAGCAGCTCCCTCTGGTGTACCCTGTAGAAGTATCCTCCAGTAACATGTCGCAAATAAAGTATAGTTATAATTATTTCCATGATGGGTTGCGCAAGCGACGTCAAGGTTAAACAGCAAGTATATACCCGGTCTTATGGGCAGCAGCTCTGAAGTTGTACCTCTGAGACTAACTCGCCAATCATAAGTAAAAAAAAAAAAAAACAATAAACCACAAAAACAAGGGCAAGTTAATGTATGCAGAAAAGAACCCTGCACTCCCTCTCCAAATACATGCATCCATTTATAAAAGCGACCTGAAGTAAACTGAAACCAATCATCCATAGATTTAAATTTCTGTCAACACTCATCTTGCATCCTGTACAGCCTGGTTATAGAAACGGGAATTCAATCCTACATAGCAACAAATCTGAAGTCTTCATAGAACTTTATAAAGACCATGTCACAAAAACTTACCACTTCATTAGAAACATTAGGTCACCACATGAGTCAGTTGCCCCAATGATCTTCTCTGGCTCAAGTCCTCTCTCAAAGCCGCGGGCAACTAGAATCTCTTCCTGAAAAAAAAGAAAAACAAGAAAAAGAGCTTTTAGCAAACAATAAATGCTGGTGTGTGTAACATGTTGTGTTTAGATATTTGACAAATGAGTGCATCAGTAACCCAATGTGACTGATGTTCTTGATTCATGTTAAAATCATCAATTTTTTACTTATTTTAAAGATCACTTGATTCATTAAAAAGAATAGCCAACAAAAACTATTGTACGTTCTATCCTTCTCTAAGCAAAAAAAATACAATTCAATGTTTACCAAATGCCAAATGAAACTGTATTCATGGATCTATAATAAAGGGTCTATCTCTCTTTAAGACCAGACATCAAACACATTTTTTCTGATAAGACCTTTATAATCAAAGGCTGATCTATTGTTGTTGTTTTTTCCAAGAGTGAGAAGCTTTTAAGTCTCCATTCGGCACCACACCAAGTTTAAAAGAAGCATTAACCTCTTACACGCCAACTATAACTTACTACGAAACACTTCAGGTTTACAATGAGTTGGTTTTGCACATACGAGTGTTCAAAACATAATCATACTATCTGCATTAGGACTTCTGCATAAGTATATGTACCTCCTTCTTCTTTTTGGGCTTGCTTCCACCCTCCTCGTCGTCGTCAGAGCTTCTCTTCTTTGAGGTACTGGATTCTTTGGAGCGTCCTGAGGAGCCCGAGCTTGATTTGCTGGCCCCGCTGCTAGGTGTGGAACTTCCACCGCTGCTTTTCTTGTAGGTCTTCATGAATTCTGAAATAAGCTCTGGGCAGTCGAGATTCTTCTCTGGCTCCCACGTGTTGTGCTTTCTGCATAGATATTAATGCACCAAGTCAGTACCAGCATTTTGTATTAATAAACAGCATCAGTAACAGGTGGGCAATCATGTGTATTTTAACATTAAAACGATTTAAACTTGCTGTATTAGCTAGATTTCTATTATGCAAATAATATTATTTGGGGGTAAAACACCAACGTTAACGTAATTTGATGTATTCATGCCTTTGGTTTCTGTTCTTTAATTGTCATTACTTACAACTTACATGACTTTTTCCTTAATGCTTTGTGATTAAAAATGTCCTCAAACTGGATGTGACATCTATTTTTTTTTAAATTGTTACACCTTTTTTATTTTTCTAGGACCACTGCTCATATTTTGTATAGTGCTGTAAGGCCTATGTTGTGGTTCGCAAAAATTTAAAGAATATGACTTACTCTGAGTATCCTTTCCACTTCAAGAAGAACTCAACCCTGCCTTTCACCACCCTCCTGTCCAGCACCTTCTCCACAACATATTCCTCTTCATCAGAAGAAGAGGAGTCCTCTTCGCGAGACTTCTTGCCCATAGCAAAGTTTGATGCTGAACAAAACGCTGTTGCAGGGAAATGGTAAATCCCTGTGCAGAAAGATCACCGATATGATGACGTTATGGAGAGTTTGATAAAGCCTTCAAAAACTAAAGTAGTATATATAACGCTTCAAACCACGCAGGCACTTGTTGTACAATATACGTGAACGTTAGCCAGCGCTAGCTATACATACCGAAAGGCGTAATTTCATTGGGTTTTTACTTATCTTAAAGATAAAATGTGACTATAATTGCATCGCTAATACCTCTTGGAAACGACTCTCTCGTCAAAAAAAAAAAGTATTTCTTGTCAGGTTAGAACTCCGATGAGTGCACACAGCATGGGTGATTTACTGTTGTGTTTGCATAGCTAACGTAACAAGCTAACCCCTTTGCCATTTAAGGCAAACCTGCTAATGCAACTAGCATGCGAGCTAACGCTTCAACAAGGGTAGCACAACACATCTTTTGAAGCCAACACGGGGACGGAGCAAAGCCAAACTTGGGAGTGAATTAAGCTCGCTGGTGTGGTAGTTAGTCCTTACCTTATGGATTTGGAGAATACCGGTTTTGACCAGTAAACCGCAGGAATTGGACCCGTGGTTAAGTGAGGCCAACGCTTAGACTACTTTAGCATCTAGGCTGGTTCACAAAGGTGCCGTGCGCTTGTCTGTGCGTAAAAAGCGCGCGTTAAAGGCGCACAATAAAAGTATCCGCCCCTCGGTCAGCTGATGACCTACTTATTTGGCAAGCTAATATGCTTCTACTGTATTTACAACATTAAATTATTTTGAACATGTTTTTGTCATTTTTTTATGTGTCCAAGTAAAAAAATAAAATAATATTAATATTATCTGCTAGTGTGGGGTGTAGTGATTTTAAGGCTAACAGCTCCACCCACAAAAATCTGAATAATTTACAACCATTTTCCTTTAAACATTTGTGCAAAGTGCATTTGTATACCCTTTTTGTCAGTGCATTCATTTGGATGTATTCACGGCATGATAACTGATCAAGGAATGTAATAAAACATTAAATGTAAAAGGCATTATAAAATGTTTTTGTTCGCTGTGATTCTTAAACGTGTGCCTTGTAATCAGCTCATTGGGCGTTAGTGTTGATTGATTTGATTTTGGCCCAATCAAAGTTCTTTAAATTCTGACGAAAGACTGCAGCGGGAACTCTCGGCCAATGGCCATGCGACAGGGGCGTATCCTTTGCTATTTATTCTACAGTAGAGTATCGGGTTGGGTTTGTCTGACGCAGATCACCTCTCTCCGGTCATTTTACAAGGAGTCTTCAAGGATTTCGCAACAATATGTCGAAAGATGTGAGTGTTTCTTTCCGATTTAATGTGATTATTATTTTTCTGCATCCTGAGCGTCTAAAATTGGTGGATATTCTTGTTTTTTTTTTTTAAATGGTCGGCTTATGTTTCTTTCTTTCATCACACCAGGCGCAGCTTGTATTGTGTAGCCGCCATTTTATAGCAGCTGGGCCTCGTGGCCTTTGTTCTTGCAGCGACTCATCACTGTAGTCTTAATTATAGCTAATTTGTTTGTTGCTGAATATATTGCCAGTGCAAAAAGGATACATGAACCGACGCATGCATTCAGCGTTGGTACTGAGCGTCTGCTACAGTTTTTAAACACCACACCGCCGAGCGTTAATGGCGGCGGTGTCGTTTTGTCGGATTTTGAAAAGTCACGCAGGATTTTTGTAAATAAAAAACAAAACGCAACCACACATTTGGTTGGTTGTGAGGTTATTATGAACGACAAGGTGCGTCGTCTTCGCACACGTGAATGTGCTCTGACGCCGCGGTCTCCACTTTGTTCATTGTGCAGGTCCCACGCGAGCCAGAGCAGCTGCGCAAGCTGTTCATCGGAGGTCTGAGCTTCGAGACTACAGATGAAAGTCTGCGGGCTCATTTTGAACAATGGGGGAGTCTTACAGATTGTGTGGTAAGTGTATGCAATTTAAAGACATTCTTCCACTGGCCACGGTTTTAATTTGAAACCATTGTGGCTTGTGTTGGTTATAATGGAGGATTTTTTTCCCCTTGCAGGTCATGAGGGACCCCAACACAAAGAGGTCCAGGGGTTTTGGCTTCGTAACATACTCATCAGTAGACGAGGTCGATGCTGCCATGACTGCCCGCCCCCACAAAGTTGATGGCAGAGTTGTTGAACCTAAACGAGCAGTTTCCAGAGAGGTAAGTTCAGTTTTGCATTTGTGTTAAACCTCGTGTGTTTAAAAAGGAAAAGCAGCATTTTAGTTACAACAAAATGTCTTGCGTGTTCACAGGACTCAAACCGGCCAGGTGCCCACGTGACAGTGAAGAAGATATTCGTTGGAGGCATCAAGGAAGATACAGAGGAGTCCCACCTGCGAGACTATTTCCAGCAGTTTGGCAAAATTGAAGTTATTGATATCATGACCGATCGTAGCACTGGCAAGAAGAGGGGCTTTGCCTTTGTGACGTTTGATGACCATGATTCTGTCGACAGGATCGTCAGTAAGTAAATGTAATGTTAAGACCCTAAAATTGATCGCTATATCTTGAACAATTGGTTAATGTCCTTTCCCTTCTCACAGTCCAGAAATATCACACAATCAACTCCCATAACTGTGAAGTGAGGAAGGCCTTAACACGCCAAGAAATGCAGACTGCAGGAATGGGTATGTGGGGTATGCTTTATTTATCAAATTAACCAAGCTCAATATGCAACATTGAGTTCATATTGGCACAATACAATGCTGTAGAGCTAAGTGTTAATGTCATTGTTTAGGTCGCAACGGTGGTGGTGGTGGCGGCGGAGGTGGAAGGCCATACGACTTTGGAGACAGGGGCTTCAATCAGGGTAAGACTATTTGATTTGATTGCAAGTCCCTGATTTTACTGGTAAGCATGAAACCTGACTGTAAGTTTGCTCTCTTTTAGGTGGAAGGGGAAGATATGGAGATGGTCCTTACAATTGTAATGGAGGGGATGGTGGTAAGTAGTCAACATCATTTTAGCGTGGATTCTTAAGACATGACTTGACGACAATTGGCCAGATATTTAAAGAATGTGTGTTATAGGCTATGGAGGTGGACCTGGGGGGCCTGGCGGATATAATAATGGTGGCAACCGGGGCTATAACCAAGGCTACAACCAGGGTGGCGGCGGAGGCGGCGGTGGAGGTGGAGGAGGAGGTGGTGGATATGGAGGAAACGGAGGAAATGGTTATGACAGCTATGGTAAGTATCAAAGCTTCCTTTAACCTTAAGAATTCTGTGCCACAGATTTTATTCCCCCCTCCCTAAATTTTCTCAATCCACTCGCAGGAAACTGTGGAGGTGGTGGCGGCGGAGGAAACAGCTATAATAACATGGGCCACTACGACTCGCAGACCTCTAACTTCGGCCCAATGAAGAGCTTCGGCGGCAGCGGCGGTGGTGGCGGCGGCGGCGGCAGGAACTTCGGTAAGATGAAGACCGGAGATTCAGGGGTAGACTGGACAGGTTCTTTGGGGGAAGGGGTGACTGTAAACTGAGTTTTCCCTGTTTTTGCTTGAAGGTGGCTATGGCGGTAACTCTAACAGTGGATATAACCGACGTGGACAGTTTTAAAATGTGAAGTGGTAAGTACTTGAAAGGCATGCCTGAAGGATTAACTTAATATCTTAAAACCAGAGTTTGTAGCTGCAGGGACTCGTTAAGTGTAGATAACCAATAAAAAAAAAAACACTCTGGATGTCAGGTCATACAAGTCAGTGCACAGTTAACAATGTTGTTCCGTATTGTTCAACAGGACTATGTACTTAGGAGAGGAGAGCGAGGAGAGCAGGCGAATGACAGGGCAGCTGCAGGTTTCCTCCTAAATCTGCTCAGCCAAACAGTTGTGGCAGGTTACTGCTGCTGCAAGACGAGATGTACAATAGCTTAATCATGGAGGGTCTTCATTTAAACGTTTTGTGCTTTTTCATCAAATGTGTTACTGGAAAGCAAGCATTCCAATAAGGTTTTATGTAGATTTTTTTTTTTTTTCTTCATTGAGTCTGGTTTTTATTTGTAACTGCAACCAATCAAGCTGAAATAAAACATCTTTCAGTTTTTTTAAACGGTCTGTTAGCCTCTTCAGTGGTTTGGGAAAGGGATGGTTCATTATCTCATGATGCATTAAAGTGGGGGCAAGAGCCACAGTTGAAATAACATGTTGTAAGGTTGGACAAGACCATTGCACTGAGGTGATGGAGAGGGGGAGGACAGCACTAGAAAACAACATGCATTTTCAATACTGATGAGGAACAGAAGGTGGTGTACTATTAAATTCATCATAAGACTCTACCCTGAGTTCTGCAAAGATCACCTGGAGGATGCTAGCTTACATGCAAAGTCTTTGAGGCTAGCCATGGAAGCCAGCTGAGGGAGAGAAGTAGCAAAACCATCGCCAGGATCATTGAAGCAGGGGAGAGTGAGAACAGAAGCCTGAGACTAGCAGGCAGCAGCTACCAAAGGGCTTATATGCTGTGTAGGTAAGACCAGACTTCTCACATACTGATGGTATGTCTTTCTTGATTTGTCATGTAGCTGATAGTAAGTTCTGTAGCCCAGTAATGACGTAACAATCATTTGGAAACAAGTTTTATTATGACTTGGAACAGTGTTGACTGGTATAATCGGCCAACTAATTTTGCATAGTGGTACAATGTAATTGCATGCTGTTATAAATGAAGGCACTATATTGCTCTTTTACTTATTTGTTTCTCCTTTCTAGGGAGCTCCAAATGTTTTCCCAGGAACCTGACTTCATTTCTGTGACAATGGCTTAAGGTACAAATCTTAAAACTTGGAACACAACAATTTACTATTTAATTTATGAATGATCTAACCACGTCTGTTTTCACAGGGTTTCCAAACAATCATGCTGGTAATGAAGATTTTAAACCGACAGAAGTTGACTGCGGTGCAGTCTTTATTTATTTTTAAAATAAAGTATATTTTCATTAAACCCCTTGCTTGGTTTGTCTTTTGTTGTTGTGCCAATGTTATTGCAGTCTTTGTGTTTTAAAATGTCATAAGCACATACAGAAATTCAGCCAGTTGATTTACCCAAATAGCACAGAAATGCATTATGCTATATGTCTTGCATAACAAACATTGAATGTACTCCCAGTTCTCAGCAATTGTCTCTTTTGTGCATAGATGTGTGCGGTACCAAATAAATTTTACCATCTGGTGTCTGTTGTAGGGAGTATTCATCCACTGAGTATGGTTGTCCATCTTCATCTCTCAAGTGAGAGAAGACTTCAGTATAGAGGTCTGCCAGGCGACATTTAATAAAAGCCAAGCTGCGCTTAAACTCCTGTCTTTCCTGTGCCAGGTGTTCTCTTTGAGTCTGCAGCTGATTCAGTTCTCTTTCAAGGTGAAAGATGCTTTCAAGTTTCCTTTTTCTGCAGTTTTGGGCAGCCACCTTGTTTTTCCCTCTGCGTCTTATGTCCCTGACCAGTGCTAGTTGAGTATCTGTCAGAGTGTACTGTGTCAGGAGCTCATTGAAGTCATCCACAGGTAGATTGATAATCCTGTCCATCGGCATGGGGATCTTCAAGGCCATAGCTCGCCGCTCATCTCTGCTCAATGGAGCAGGAGTTAATGTGCTTCCTGGTTGTTTGGTGTACAGGTTATGCTGTGAGCTCCATCTGCTGGTGACTCCAGAGTCAGTGTAATCTCCAAGGGCAGTGGGCTGGCTCTGCTGTTTCACTGACCAGGGAGCCATGGCATTAGGTTGTGAGTGAGAATAAGCAGTATGGGTTTGAAAATAAGATGGATGTGCACCTGAGTGTAAATAGGAGTGTGTTTGATTCTGATAGTCCATCGAATAATGCATTTGTACTCCTCTGGTGTGCCCAGTCATGCTCTCTGGTTCACCATCACTATATGTCATGTTCATATCTACACTCTGGTACCCTGGTGCACCACTTACAGGGTTATCTGGGGAGGCCAAAGGTGGACTAGAACCCAACGACAGGCCAGAGTCTGACTCTAGGTCATCAGCTGGGCGAGCGTGCAAACTTTGTCCGTGTGCGGTCCACAGCATGTGCCGACCCTGAGACAGACCCGCATTGGACCTTCTGTGCTGACTGGTACCCGGAATGTTCAGGTCTTCCCTTGGAGTCATGAGAGAGGGCTGAGTGTGAGAAGAGACTGGGAACATGCGCTGATTTAGCTGAGGTTCAGAGTGTGTGTACATGGCCTCTGCGTTGCCACTTAATTGATGACTGGCAGATGCCTCTATAGAGTAACATCCATCATATGTGTTGGCGGTGCTGAGATCACAGGCAGGAGGAGAGGGGGGCTGATATTGGGACTGGGCCATCCCATATGCTCCCATATGGACCATTGACTCCATGCTCTGGTATTGTGTTGTTTCATGGGCTTCACCAGGGACATCAAACTACAGTTACAAAAACAAATAGAAAACCAAGGTAAGATTGACAGGTGGATCAGTAAACACATCACAACAACAGCTACATTATGAAAACTGTTATTAGATTTACAAGACATTTACATTTATAAGTGGAGCTTTTTAGTCTCATCTGGTTCTCTGTTTGCCCCCACTTCAGCATGCCACCCATTGCCTATGAAGGGCTCCCGTAGATGTGATCAGGTTTCACTGATAACAGATGGCTATTGTGCGGTGCTGGGGGCCGCAACATACAGCACTTGCCCCTATTCACAATCTGATCATGCTGCTATCACTCAAACAGGCCATTGTTACTTATTCTCATCTGAGTGTTAGCCTATCAATATTTTGCATCAAACGACATACAAACTACAAAATACAATTTGTTCATGCACTATACATTTATCTATGAATGAACATTTCAAATGTCTATGACCAACAACATACTACTGTTAAATATTTTAAAAAAAAAGATTAAATATATTAACGTCTGCTTTGGTAGGCCATGGATGAGTTTTGATCTCAAAAGAGCACAAATGTCTTTGCAGTATCAAATTGTAACATCTAACACTATATTTAAAAAGATACTTATGAGAAAATATTACTTGTATTTTTTGAAAACAATCCAGTATGCCAGTACGTGGAAATGCAGCAAAGGTATTCTGACAACATACACTAATTCTCTAACTGCTTAAGTGTTACCTGCAGCTCTGTGATGGCCATCAGCTCCTGCCAGGCCACATCCATCTCTGTATCCTGAGGTGCTCCATGAGACCTGGCTCCAGATAAATGAGTTGACATGGACCCCCCCACACACAGCCTGCCTGGGGTGGTTAATGCCTAATAGAAATGAAAATTATCTGAAGATAACAACTCATCCAAGAGGGTCATCTAGGCTTGACAATGTGAGAAACCCACCTCAAAGGTTCTCCTTGATGGGAGAACACAGTTGGCCGTTGAACACATTCAGGCCAGATGCTTGCAGCTAAGGAGCCACCTGGTGGGACACAGAGCAGTGGGTTAATGGAACTTACCTTTTCTCTAAGACCCCATCATGTCTTCAAACACACATACAAACTGTATATTACATATCTGTATTCCTGCAGGTGCTGAATAAACAACTGTACAGTTGTTGTGTATGTTCTTTTGGAACACATGAAGGATTCAGTTTACTTGCGTTAACTCCTCCCATCAGCGGTCCCGGGTTGCAGTATTGCCGAGCCCTGATAAGACAATCTGCGGGAAAACAGCATGCTGCAGCCAACATACTGGAGGCTGAGGGCCACTTTGGAAAAGTTTTGTGTTCAGCTAAAATGCAGTCTGTAACATTTGTACTATTATATATGTGTGTGTGTGTGTGTGTGTGTGTGTGTGTGTGTGTATATATATATATATATATGTATATATATATATATACATATACACATATAAACACACTGCCAGAACAAACTCAGCCATGTGCCATACACACACAAATACAGGCAAAATCTATTTTAGCTTTTGTATTGTATTTCTCTATATTTCAACATAAATGTAAAAGCCTTTTTTGTTTATGTTGCCTTTATTGACCAAATGAATAAACTAATGGTGAGAGTACACCAGGGTTTCCCTTTCAGCTTTTATGTTCTTCAGAGTATTCAATTATTCAATTGTCTTTCAAGTGTCACTAAGAATTTGCTCAAACTTTGAATTGTTACTTTAAATTGAAGCACATCTTGCTCCAATACTTTCTACCAAGAAACAAGGGAGCGACCTGTGATATCTTATAGAAGAATTATTTAAAATCAAAAAGATACCTGATTCAGTATCAAACTGTGGGCTGTGACATACTAAACTGTTAGAGATAATGGTCTTGGTTCTGTGTCTTTAGTCTCTAAAGAGACTTTAATGGTGTGCAGAAATAAATAAAGTCTGAGACTTGTGTTCAAATGCAAAATGTGGCATATTTCAGCAAAGTATTTTGTTGTTTCTTTTACTTTTTAAGTATCAAATGACATGCTTAAGGTTTCATTATCATTTCAGTGAAACTGGTCCTTGTAAGGCTAATTGTCCATCAATCAATCAATCAATCTTCATTTGTATCGCGCCAATTCATAACAAGAGTTCTCTCGAGACACTTTACAAAGAGCAAGTAAAAAGACTTACTCATTGTTATGTTACAAAAAGCAGGTAGAAAACCTTACTTATTGCTATATTACAAAGACCTGGCTTAATCCATCATGAGAACTTTAGCAAAGCAGCAGAAGTTACGGTGGCAAGAAAAAACTTTGTTTTAACAGGCAGATATCTTGGGCAAATCCAGGCTCATGACAAAATAGTCATCTACCTAAACTGTGTTGATGTGACCATCAGTGATATGAAAAAAAATGTAGTTTTATTCAAAGGAATCATGATTAACTCTTAACAGAATATTCTCTTTCATCTGTCTTAGTCAGTCAAAAAATGTCTAAACAGTCAAATGAGATCAAGACAAAACTGACCAAACAACTAAATTATTTTAATCCGACATATGATAGAAACTTACGTTATGACTTTAACTCCAGTCTGTCATATTTAAATGAATGAAAGTTTCAGCAATGTTATGATTACATTACCTAGACATTATATATGAGACTTTCCGGTTATACTATCATAAGTGACACATGTACTTAAATCTACTGAAATAAGCACAACTCAAGAGGGAAAACCTCTCAGAAAAGATCGACCGAAGAAAAAAGGTTATATATGAATGTACATACCTGTTTAACATTCTCCACTTCTACAGTTGAAGAGTCAGAAGAAAGACTTGGTGGCTATAAGCACAATCCTGGAGGTGAAAAAAAGGGGGTAAAAAAGTAAAATGAGATTATGCTCTTTTCAAGTTTTGCAGATCACAAGAGGTTAAACACGCGAGGCCTGCTGTCCTATCTCTCACTCAACTGTCTCTCTCTGTTACGCTTCTCTTACAGCCACCGGCATAAATGGGATGGCTCAGTGCAGACAAACGCAATCTTCCTGTAAAGCACCCACAGCACACATTTTTGCACTTACTGTATCCTTAATAGCACACTTGCGCCCCAACCTCTGAATTTCCCTTTTGCCCACACGACAAACCACAAACCAACAGTCTGGCTTAGAATCATTCTGTAAGTCCACAGTGAAGTAGGTAAATGTTTAAAGAGTTTCAAAAACAAACAAAAGACCCCTTAAGCAAGCTAGATTATTTTCTGTAATAACAATACATATAAAACAGAAGTGAGAGAAAACTAGCCGGTTGGTTGTGTCTGTTCTGGCCCCTCTGTCCTTTAACTCGTCCCAAACAAGAGGAACAAGCAGTATGATGTGGAGCACCTGGAGTCAGAGCCGGCATGGCAGTAAGGGCCCTGTTCGAGCAGAGGTGGGTTGGAGGCAGGATTGAGACTTAGTTTAGTAGAGATGGAATGTACACCCTCCAACAGGTAAGAAAGACTACATTGTTCTTCTATCTGGCAGAGCAACCGCCAAGGGAGAGAGAGGAGCAGGGGGAGAATAGAGGGGAGCGTGTCTTACATAGCAAGTGACCATTAAAACCCCTCACAAAAAAATCCCCTCATTGCCCTGATCTGAAGCACTGTGAGGAGACTATGTGTTATGTAGAACTGCTCTATTGTGCAAAAGTGTACCATTGCTGATAGCAGTATGTGGTGTATTTGTTGTTTAATAGATCAATATTTAATTTATCTTCATGCAGCATGATGGAGAAGTCTGCCACTGTGTCAGTGATGATTTTAAACCAATCTGTGTCACATTATTTTTCAAGAACTTTAGTGATCTGTTAAAATCACCACGACCTCCTGCATTGTATGCGAACTGATTTTTATATTGACAACAATACAAATAACTTGAGGAACATATTGAAGAAAGGTTTTATTCAGCTATTGTAGCTATGGAACAGATCATAACCTTCTTCCATAAATATTAAACAAACAAAACAGGTACACATTTTTGTAGTGTTACCGGAATATGAGTGGTCTTTCTTAAAAGACAATATGGCTCCAGTGATATTCTCTATTTTTGTACAAAGAAACAGCGGCAGTGTGCAAATAATGCAATCATTTTGTTTAAATAAGCATACAAAAAATGTCAGAGTTCAAAACAGACGTCACAATCACTTTAGTTCTTAAATTGCAGTTGGTATAAATAAATAATTAACAGGGATAACAATGGACAACAAAATCCATTGTTGTTGAAACAATTCTCTGATAATCTACACACTTGGTTGTTCAAATATTTTTTTAAAAAGTAATAAAATGCATTTAAAAAATCCCACACTATTCTTAATACAAAATAGCTGATTAAAGGTGTTTCCTTCATTACTGATACATACATACATACACTTACCAGATTTGACATTTAAAAGAAAAAGCTGATTTCAAGCTTTATTAAAAAAACACACTGAATCAAATAAACATATAACCCAAACACTGACATGATAAAACAGCTTAAGTACTGTAAATAGAAATTGAATATTGCAACTCAAGCATGACATTTTTAAAAAGAAATAAGTCTACATTTGAGAGATGAACAAAAATGGACATTCGGTAAAACACTGTATATTCATAAACGATGAGAACATTGAACAGGCTTGTCTGGCCCACTACAATATAGCATCCCACTGAGACATAAATCTCTCTGTTTTCTCTGTCATTGTTCTGAGATGGAAAAAAGTAGGTGGCTGACAGAGTCAAGAAAGGTGAATGTCTACCCGGAATCAAAAAAGGGACTTCCCAACTCGAGTTCCTAGCACCCAGCCCCTGACTCTACCACTGCCACAGCCTGCCAAAGAGCACCCTGTTATTACTGCGACCACAGTGGTTTTCAATCTGGACACAGTTCCCAGGTCAACGCCCACGTTCTCTGTTTGTGTTTGTTTGCTTCAATTAGTCTTTGACATCTCTGCTTTCCAGCTTCCCTGAACCTCTGAGGTCTGTCAGCCATTTCTCATTGTATACCTCAGTGCTACGAACTCCACCTTAAAAATAGAGTGGACATGTTGGCTGGGAACGGCCCACTGTTGACTCACTACCGCTGGAAGTCTCTTAATAACTTTTCTACTGTATGTTTGGGAGCCTCATGTCTAATGTGAATGAAACAGTTAAACATGTTGTCCCTTTGTGTCCTGGTGTTTCTATAGTGTTTTACGTGTTCATTAAAGATGAAGGAATGTGGTATCTTTGGTTTTGTTTTCACATCCAGAAAGCTGTATCAGACATGAGTGGAAAAACCACCTCACTGCTAAACAAAATGGATGGGTTGTGGTATCAAAAAAGGGAATATTTTTGGAGTCAGCTTCTGGGAAAGGGAACAAATACAGAGTACCGACTGTAGCCTTTTCTTTTATATTTAATAACTTACTATTTGGGATCTTGATTTTAAATGAAAATAAAGTTCAACACAGTTTTTTTCAACACCTTGCACATTTATCACCTTTTCAAATGAGCAGAAAGTGAGGTTTTCTTTATTGCATCGACTCCAGAGCAAATGAATTTACCAACAACATTTGCATTGTTGTTCCTTAAAATTTTTATCTTGACCATCACACATTATCACTACCTGAAAAGATGACCAAATGAGGAACCTGAATATGCAGCATCATTCATCTGAATGTGTTGGTAAGGTCTGTGCTTATCTCCAGATGTTCAGATAAAGATTTCGTAACAACATCATTATATTCCTTTACCATTTTCCAATTATATTTGTCACAGTTTACATTCATATACATAACTGCACGGTCTGCGAAAATAGCTTTAGACATACAAGAAAATATATGTTTTATCTTTTACTTTAGGGGCTGTGTAAATATACATTTGTGTGCATAGCCTTAATTATATATTATTATGTGTTCATAACAATGGATTTAAAGGCTGGTTGGTACTACAGACGCAGAGAGGGAAGGTATAAGGAGGATGTTGGTCGGCGGAAGCTCTGCCTAATGCTGATAAAAAGAAACACTTAGTTCTTAGGAAGGGAACTGCTAACTGCTGTGGTTGCTGGTGTGCACCAAGAAGAGGGGAACAAACCGAGCAACCTTATTCTTCTTTCTATTGCCATGGTCTTCATTTATACTTCTTTATATCTGTGATTAACAGACGGGGCTAATAGTATAAAGTAAACATTCAGTCTTTCAGTCACACTCGGTTTATTAGCTCATTTCAGTGTATGATTTCAAACACAATTAAAAAACACACACTTTTTTCTCAAAGTACTTTTAGTGCTGTCCATGAACAAACAGGAGCAGGGAGAAGAAAACTTAGAATACTGGCCCCTGTCTTCATAACATAAGTTACTGTTGGTACAGAATCAGATGGCTAATATGTTCTTTACTTTTTCTTTCACAAACTTTCAAATTAACAGTACTAACTGAAACAATCAAAAATAATCATCTCAATAGATTACCTCAAGAAATTCATCATTTCCAATTGTTTTTTTATATTATTTTAAGTCCTTATCCAGAGAATTCAACAGTATTTCTCCATATACTGAAATACACATTTGTTTTAATAGTATGTGCGTAAGAACTAGATCCTCCTCAGTAAATCGAAACACAAACAACCTCTGAAGATTTTCAGGTAATAATCTTTTTAAAACATCTTGACCAGTTTCCTCATAATAACCTTTCAATATAATAATCTAAAATTGTGCATCATTTACGGTTTATTGAACAATGAAGGGGTGGGGGGTGTCTGACCACATTATCCATCAGATTTCTCTCTATTGGCTGCTTTTTTTTAAATCTTAAATGTCAATTCATCATTCAATGTTCATTCATCATCTACACTGCCAGTCACCGTTATCATTAGCCTACTGATGGTTTTCAGCTAGCCTACACACAAAGACACTAAATGAAACAACATTGCATTGAAACTGTAAACTCTCTTAACCTTGAAGTATGAGCAAGTCCAAGACAGTATACTATTTCCTCTCTGGTTTGGGTCATTTTGAAATCTTAGTGGCAGAATTGTGTAAACCGAGTGCTGCATTGCAACATTTCATGGCTGCCCGCAGCATTGTTTTAAATTCATGTCAAAATAGTCTCAGTCTCCTCATCATACACTTATTGCATGTAAATAATGGTGGTGCTCCATTCTCTTTCAAAACTCTTCATTC